GCTTTTAACAAGTTACACATTTGATTAAAAGCATGCAAATCCAATCACTTGGAAACACATGTAGGTGCTCCATAACGCACTGAGGGTGAAATTCTGTGGGCTGTGAGTAGAGCAATTGAGTCCATGACAATGGCAGGAGACTTAATACTGAGAAGACTGGGCATGCTCTGGGCTGCTCTCTGAAAGAGAGCTCCTGAGCTCCTGAGTTGTGCGTATGTATCTTAGTGTGGTAGCAGCACAGAAGCGCCCCACTGCTACCATCCTTTTCTTTTGACACGTGCATGTAGTTAAGAGCACAGCCTAAGGGCTTTTGCACGCTATTCCAGATGGTAAAATTGACAGGTTTTTAAAATAATAGTTTATACAGATGTTTATCACATGTTAACTTGGCATATGCTATATGGAATTCACTTGCAGTTGGAACTACATACGTAGTTTAGGTTTTCCCGGGCTACCTTTTTAGCGAACTTTGCTCTTTAATTGCGAAGTTAGATAGTCTAGCTTCTCAGCTGAGCTTTGAAAACTGATCATGAGAATTCGAGTGCTAATATTAAAAAAACGTTCAACAGTAGATTGCAATTACCAGTAACAGATCCTTCTGAATTTATGGGTTTTGTGATGTTTCAGGAAGAAAATTGAACGTTATATCTTAAAATAATAGCTAGTACTTGCACAAAAATATTTAGTCTCCTGTAAATTGCATATAATTAGCCACAGTTCCATTTTATCTAGTACTAATAGACATAAACAGTAAACTGTATGTCATAAAATATTTAGTTTTGCATTCAAGAATCAATGTTCTCTTCAATGTAATATTCATGACCTAATTGGTTTCAATGGTTCCTCTCCCAGGGAGAGGCTGGAAATCAAGGCATTACTATGAACAGTGAAACCTGGACTCTAAAAATGTATGGGGATTTTTGCCAGTGACCGAGATTTCATCCACAGAAAACTGCTAGCTGCAGATAACAGAACTGTTTAATCAAGGCCAACTGGCTTCAGTCCAGAATTCATCTGTTACAAACATGCACAGAATCTGAAGAAACATAAAGCTGCTTTAAGCCCTGGAACTGCTGTAACTGCATTCTGAATTGGGCAGTGGTGTGATCTGTCTCGTATGTAGGTACAAGTTACAACTTCAGTTCTTTATCCTTAAGTGTCACACATGGTCCCTGTATGGGAGGTTGATTTCCTTTATCTCAAAGTGGAAGATTTTCCAGAGATAAAGCTTTGGGGTTGAACTCCCAGGATTGAGATGTCAACATGAGGGGCCAGCTGCATACCATACTTTTCAGTCCTGTCTTTAGTCTTGTAATAATTGGTTCGGATGTACTGAATAAACCAGTGTATTCATTTTTGCTACCCTTTCATTTTGAATTTGTTAAATACTGCACTTGGACAAATAGAGCAAACGCACAGTTTTTTTTAATTGTAGTAATTCCTCATCTGAAATTGGTTTGGGATCACTCTTGCATATGTTCAACTAAGTATCTATAAATGGTATCTGCTTCTGGATTGCAAACTTGCAATGCTGACCACAAATGCAAGGTGCCAGGGTGTGAATAGCTTTTAATTTTTATATACTATTTTGGCCCTTTTGTGCATTAAGGCAACCATGGTTTTTACTTTGTCTTGATATCTGGAGGTTAATGTAAGTTTCTGGCAGAAATGTACTTTATGTGTAGTTTTAAATAAAGTAAATTTTATTGGTATGATAAATCAGTTTTGATGGCCAGAAGTTTTCTGATTGAACTGAGACTTTTATAGGGGTTGGGGAAGGGAGAAAGGGGGACTGACAACCTAGTTGAACCCAGAACAGTTGTCTGTTGTGTGACTTTCCTATGCTTTGTAGATTTTGCTGTTTAAATGTCTTTCTTCACTTGTTCCTACTGATTTTGCAGACCCTTTTTTAGCATCATACTAGTATCTGCCAGTAGGCAGTAAAAAGTTCACTAAGCGAGCTGTCGGGGATGTAAAGGAGGCAGCTTGTGCAAATACACAAATTGGTCAAGTATGTTACTCTGTATTCCCAAGCTTGCTCCCGTTGGAGTACATTATCTTGCCTTTGTATTTTTATTTTTTTCAAAAACATGGATGAATCTGATGTGTCCATGTGCAATATATATACTCACTTGGTAATGGATAAAAATTCATCTTGGTGGTGCAATATTAAAAAAAACAAACCAACTTTCATGTTTGTCTTGGTATGAATGTTTAATACAAACTTGGAAAAAAAATTATTTTAGCAGTTGATTATCATTGTAAGATACAAAGTCCTGTTCTTTCACAACTATGTGCCTACTTCCTATGTTTATTTCTTTTGACAAAGCTGAATGGCAAAAATGCTTGTTTATAACTGTGTAACTTTTTGAACTTTCAAAACTTAAAACTAAGTAAACATGAAATACTGATCAGCCTTGTTTGACACTGTGTGCTTGCTGTCTTTGGGTGTTACATATGTGTTAAAAATTAACGGACACAGACTGTTGACACTTGTTTTAAAAAACAACAGGAGTGAACGACTTCAGAATAAGCAGCACCAAGACTGCAGGATTCCCAGCTGTGCAGGATTCCCAGCTGTGCAGGGTGGGCAAGGGGCCCCTTGCTGACCACCGGGCCTTAGATCCCACAAACTCTCCTCTGGGAAAAAGAGGTGGGAGGGACACTCAACACACGGTGCAAAAGTTCCTTGCGGCCGGGCCCTGTGGCGATTGGCCTCCTGTCTTCCGCTCTGCTCTGCATGCACCGTGGGTGCTGTTTGCCCCTGCCTCTTACATTTTTCTCCCTTTTAGGAAAAAAAACAACACCAAAACAACCCCAAAGCCAAACCAACACAAAACCCCAACCGTTCCCATCCTTGGTCCTTCTGTTTCCCGCTGGGAGCGGCTCCGCCGGACTGAGCTACGAGACGCCCCGCTGGCGGGAGCCCTTCCCGCTGGAACTGCAGCTCCCGGCGCGCCCCGCGAGGCCGCTGCTCCCGGCGCCGGGAGCGGCGCTGCCG